AGGAAACATACTGATTGGTTCAGATATCTGTTTTAAGAATGTATGAATAAAGAAATCATGGCCTGTGTAATTAGACAGAAACTAAAATTCCAATTGGTATAGAATCTGGGTCCTTTTGTTCACCAGACTTAAGGGAAAAGTTAAGAACGCTGAGACCCAGGACTCTAAATTGTCAACTGGTAGCATTTATGACTAATTCTCTTGGTGACCTATTGGTAAGAAGCTGCACCGCAATGCTGAAGGCACATAATTGGAATCTACTAACTGCCCTGCAGGAGAAGATGACCACTTTCCTGCCATGCAATTAATTGTTTCTGAAAATCTGCTTGAGGGTCAGTTATGGGTTGGTTCCATCCTGCCAGCACCCAACAACATAATAACTAATTCTATAACTATAAAGAGAACTCAGTGGCATAATGTGCTACCTGTTGCATTGTTAAGCAAAAGGTCAGTAGCTCATATCCACTAGCTTCTCTAAGGAAGAATGATGGGCAATTTCCCCCTGTGAAAATGTACAATCTTGGAAACTCAATAAATGTTCACACTGGACAATAAATAAGGATGACAGAAGAATTTATGCCTTTGAACTGTGGTGTTAGAAACGAGTACTGAATATTTCATGGGCTACCAAAAGAACAAACAGATAGATCTTGGAAAAGGTTAAGCCAGAATGTTCCTTGAAGGCAAAGGTGATGAAGCTTTGTCTCACATATTTTGGACATGTTGCTAGGAGAGGTTATTCCTTGGAGAAGGACATCATGCTTGGCAAGGTGGAGGAACAGTGAAAAAGAGGAAGACATTCAACCAGGTGGACTGACACAGTAACAGCAGCAAAGGGCTTGAGAGTGTCAGAGATTATGAGGACGGCACAGGATAGGACAGGGTTCAGATGTGGCTGTTCATGGGGTCACTATGAGTCACGGTCAACTCTATGGCACCCAACAACAACACGGATCAGGACATTTGATAGCACAGAGATTTATAGCTATAACAATTTTCCTTAGGAGTATACGTCATTTTAGCATAGCCCTACTCTCCTCAAAACAGACACTAAAAATCTAAAAACTAATATAAACGTTGGTGATGAGTTCTTTTTAAGAGACTCCTCCTCTTAAATAAGATATTTTCAAATACATTTTAAAATCAATGGCCGCTGCTTCCCTCTCTGGTCATCCATGTTAGATAAAGGAACGGCTCTCACCCCTCCACTCTAGACTCCAAAGCTTCCTGCCCGTGAGCAAGGCAGCTAAGTTGGGCTTTTTGAATAGAGAAATTGTTTTAAGATTGCTCATTACGTCTTAAAGAAGGTAGTTACAAAATTTCTTGCAAATCCAGAGAACTTGGAGAGAAAATATTGAAAACATGATGAAATATTCAGTTTGGGTTTTTTAAATACTCAGTTTTAAGGAAATGGCATTGTCTTAATTATTATGAGAACTAATTAGCAAATCCTCTGTCATCATGTGTGTTCTGACTTATAACCACCCAGTAGGAGCAGATATGTTGTTGTTATGTGTCGTCAAGTCACCTGTGACTCATAGCAACACTATGTACAACTGCTCTGAAGCCTGCCCTGTCCTGAGCCAATCTCACTAATTCCGACACACCAACCCCCAGTGGCCCTGTTACTGTATCAATCCATTTCATCTGGGGTCTTCCTCTCCTGCAGTGTCCCTCCACCCTCCTCAGCTTGATATCCTTCTTCAAGGACTGGTCCCTCCAGGCCATGTGTCCAAAGTATTTGAGACGGAGCTTCAAAATCCTAGCCTCCAAGGAGAAACTTGGTTTCACCCTCTCCAAGTGAGACCTTTTTGTTTTCTTGGCAATCCATGGTGTGTTCAAGTCTCTTTCTTGTCAAGCATCACAATTAGAAGGAGTCATTTCTTCTTCTGTCATCCTCAGTCCCCGCTCTCACGCATAGCAAATACCATGGCCTGGATTAGGTGCATCTTGGTTTCTAGACTGACATTGTTGCTTTTCAGCCCTCTGGAGAGGTCCCTGGTGGCAGATTTTTCCCAATGCAATTTGTCTTTTGATTTTCTGACTGCTGATGTTAAGAGTGTTGATTGTAGAACTGAGCAAGCTGTAATTGTTAACAATTTCAATCTCTTCTCTATCAATCATGGTATTCCCAATTGGCCCAGTGGTGAGACTCTTTGTCTTCTTGTTGTTGAACTCCAATCCATAGTGAAGACTACAGTCCTTGACATTCTGTAGCAAGCACTTCAGGTCTTCTTCAGTTTCAGCAAGCAAGGTTGTGTCATTTGCACATTGCAGGTTGTTAATGAGTCTTCCTCCAATCCTGATGCCACATTCCTCCTCATAAAGCCCTGCTTCTCAAATGATCTGTTCTGCAAATAGATTGACAAGGTATGTAGACAGGATGCATCCCTAACACACTCCATTCCTAATTTTGAACCATGCAGAGTTTATCTGCTCTGTTCTGAGGACTGCTTCCTGGTCCAAGTATAGGTTTTGCATAAGTACAATCGCTTGTTCTGGGATTCCCATCTTTCTCAAGTTTAGCCACAATTTATTGTGATTCACACAGTCAAATGCCTTTGCATAGTCAATGAAACACAGATAGACATTCTTTTGGTACTCCCTGCTCTCAGCCACGCCACAGATATAGTGGCATAAAAATGAATGAGAGAAAGGAAAATAGAAAATATTCAGAGGCTGTGTAAGACATTTGGAACTCTAAGAGCCCTGTGGCCCAAAGCTAAAATGATTCATCTGAAATAGCCATGCCACTTATTCTTTCCCCTGACTGGGTCTCCTCACTCTAGTAATCTCTCAGTAATCAGCCCCCCAAATGGAGTAAGAAGACCCCATGAACAAGGCCCATCCTGTCGTGATCTGTTCTTTATCCCTCAGGAGCTAATACATTTTGGAAGCAATTACTATAAAATGATTTCATCATCTGTCAATGATCAGCCAATATCTAAAATATTGGGTAAGTAAATGTACGTGTTGTTGTTGTTGTTATGGGCCATCAAGTCACTTGCGACTCATAGCGACCCTATGTACAAGAGCCCCAAACGCCGTTCTATCCTGTGCCAGTCTAGTCATCTCAAACGCACTCATTCCCACCACTCCACTCACAGAATTGATCCGTCTCATCGAGGGTTTTCCTCTCCTGCGCCATCCCTCCACTCTGCCAAACATAATGTCATCTGCATAACGCAGGTTGTTGATGACTCTTCCACCAATCCTGATGCCACATTCCTCCTCATACAGCCCAGGGTCTCTCGGATGATCTGTTCTGCATACAGATTGAAAAGGTATAGAGACAGAATACATCCCTAATGAACCCCCTTCTTATTTTGAACCATGTAGTGTCTCCTTGTTCTGTTCTGACAACTGCCTCTTGGTCCAAGTATAGGTTTCGCATTAGCACAATCAAATTTTCTGGGATTCCCATTCTTCTCAGAGTCAGCCACAGCTTGTTGTGATCCACACAGTCATAAACCTTTGCATAGTCAATGAAGCACAGACAGACATTCTTCTGGTATTCTTTGCTTTCTGCTAAGATCCATCTGACATTAGCTATAATATCCCTAGTACCACGACCTCTTCTAAATCCAGCCTGCGCATCTGGCAGTTCTCTGTTGATATATTGTTCCAAACGTTTTTGGATAATTTTCAGCAGAATCTTGCTTGCGTGTGATATGATATTGTTTGATAATTTCCACACTCTGTTGGGTCACCTTCCTTTGGAGTGGGAACAAATATTGATCTTTCCAGTCTGTCGGCCAGCAGGCTGTCCTCCAGATTTCTTGACACAACTTAGTGAGCACATCCAGGGCCAGTGTCTGTTTGTTGAAATATGTCATTTGGTATGGCGCCAACTCCTGGAGCCTTCTTTTTTGTCAATTCCTTCACAGCAATTTGAACTTCCTCCTTCATGACTATAGGTTCTTGGTCATATGCCATTTCATGAAATTCTTCTGTGTCAGCCAAGTCCTTCTGCTACAGTGACTCTGTGTATTCCTTCCATCTTCTCTTGATACTTCCTGGATCGTTTAACATTCTACCCAAAGTATCCTTTAGTATTGTGACCCATGGCTTGAATTTGTTTTTTAACTTCTTCAGCTTAAGAAACGCTGAGCAAGTTCAGCCCTTTTGATTTTCTGACTTCAGCTCTCTGCACATTTCATTATAGCATCTTTGCTTTGTCGTCCCGAGCTGCCTTTTGAAATTTTCTGTTCAGCTCTTTGATTTCTTGGTTTCTTCCTCTAGCTTTGGCTTCTTGGAGCTCTAATGTAATAGTCAGAGTCTCATCTGACATCCTTCTTGGTCTTTTCTTCTTCTTCAGCCTTTGTAATGATCTTTTGCATTCTTCATGGATGATTTTCTTGATATTTTCCCTGAGCTCATTTGGTCTACACTCATTGGTGCTCAAGGTCTCAAACCTGTCCTGAGATGGTTTTGAAATTTGAGTGGGACAGACTTAGGTCAAATTTTGGTTCCTGTGGACTTGATTTAATTTTCCTCAACTTCAGCTTGAACTTGCATATGAGTGGTCTGTCCCACAATCAGCACCTGGCCTGGTTTTCACTGCTGATACTGAGCTTCTCCACCGAGTCTTTCCACAAGTGTAATTGATTTGATTCCTATGCATATCATCATGTGAAATCTATGTGTATAGCCTGCGTTTACGTTTCTTAGAGCAATGAGTAAATCATTGAATGTGCAGAATTCTATCATTCTATCTCCAGCCTAGTCTTTACTATTAACATAAAGATGAACACTTTGAATTCAGTTGTCAGCCCCAGGAAAGAAGGGCTTGGTATGTCTACCCAGTTACACCTAGAAAACCCTAAGGAGGAAAAGCAAAACCAATACAAACAAGCCTACACTACAGCACACAGTAAAATCGTGAGTCACAGGCAACTCGATGGCAGTGGGCTTTGCTACTTAGCAAAGCAAAATCGCAATGTCATTTCTTTACTGTAGAGCTTCAACAGCTAACGTGCTGTCTTTCTTCCTGTTCACAGAGTCGAAGGTCAGCTGCAAGTTAGGCCGCTCAGCGTCCACGTCAGGGGTGCCTCCTCCATCAGCTACTCCTCTCAGGCAAGCCAGTGACCTGCAACAGAGCCAGGTACCATCATCGTTAGCCAATCGTGATTGACTTCCTGTGATGCTGTAACATGCCAAACGCTTCCCACCTCTGTCTGTTGTGTGTCGCTGTAGACAACCCTCACATCCGCTTTCCTTTTTCTATGTGTGGATGGGTGGGTGGGATGAGCTGTGCAATCTGTGTTTTCATTCAAAAATGAAAAGTCTATCTACTCTGTGACTGGTGAAACTTTCTTTGATGTTTGTGATCAAATCGGTTTCTGGTTGTGTTTTTTTTTTTTTTTTTAATTTTTTGTCTCTGGTTTCCATCATTCTGTAATATAAATGTAGTAAATTTGTACTCTGTGTATTGGCTTAGTGGTTATTTTAAAAAAAAATTCTTTCTCTTTTCTGTGTTTTCTGTATTTTTATACTGTCTGAAAATTTATCAACATTTGATAAATTTATCTACTTTGTTTTATGTAGATTTCTTTTTAAATGTTTTGTCCACAATATTTGCACAGATGTTGTCAATGAATGTGTATATAACTCTTAGCTCTTATCCTGTTAGACTGTAATATCTGTGGCAATTTCACGTTTCCTTTTAATTTGCTTGAAGCATGATTGTAAGCCACTGTGAATATCAATGTCCTTATAAATATTCATATCCCAACTCTCCCGGATTAAATATGGCAGCTAGCCTTTCTTCCTTCTTAGGCCATAGAGAGACACATTGGGTAACTAGATAGTATAGGGTATTTACCAAAACATGAAGGTTAATAAGGAAACCTTACACAAATGAGTTTTCTCTTTCATGCAAACGTATCAGAAATGGTTTCCAAAAGGGAATGTAAGTGTCTTTGCATGGTAAATGGGATCTCCATCTTCCATGGAGACAAGAGGCAAGAAATAAAAGCATAAAGTCAACTATTACTTAATCCTTTATAGTATGATATCTTGCTCTTATATTCATTTGAGTGCATGGTTGTGTATGGAGAACTCTGTAGGGGGCAAAACTGTGTACACATGAATGTCCTTTCTGTAATTTGGTCAATAAGAATTCCATACGTTGACTTCATTGTAAACTTGAATTGCTGCTGTTGTTAATTGCTATGGGGCAATCCTGGAATGGTGTCTCTCTGACCCCCAACTTTCTTTGCATCCATGAAACTCTTCTAAAAAAAGTAAATGATAACCTTTCCATGGAGTAAATGTTCTTTCCATAGGAGTTCCCCATTCCTGATTATTATTACATATTTGGTTATTAAAATGCCACACTATTTTGAAAACATAACAAGGCAGAATAATTCCGTCTTTTTCTCCAAATAAGAGATGGTGTGCTTCTTAGTGCCTTGCTCTGACTTACATAAGTGTATGGTTTGGTTGATAAAAATGTGGAATATCTACAAACTCCAGAGATAAGAGATTGTTCTCAAGGGCATCTCAAGTGTAATTTAGAATTTTTTTTTAGTCTTTGTTTAAAACGTTAAATGATTTTCTAAATGAATGCAGCCAGGTCGGACACTTTTGGATACAAAAGACTATGACAAAGAGTTAATAAATATGTGATGATGTGGTTAACGTCACGAAGGGAAATATTCACCTTGATTGATAAAGGCAATTTTTAAAAGCACTAGATTTACCAATAAAGAAATTCTGAGCATACATTTGGAGGCGAAAGGGAAAGACTTTTACAAATTGACTGAAGATTATATATATAATTAGTTTTCCAAGTACATAGTCTGTACATTTTTTGTTTTTTAATATTTTGAGGGTGGGTTTTCATCTAATTATATTTATAGCTATTTCATCCTAAGTAACTTCAACTTTCAATGAAAGCAGTTCCATAAGAAGATAAGTGTTCAAAAAATGTATTTCAACCTCAGTGCCTTTGTGTTATTAATATTTGTTCATTCGATGAGATTCTTTTCATCCTACAAATGATAGTAACACAAGAAAGCTCTCGCACCACTTGTACGGTGTTGGCTTCCTTACCGATTTGTAAAAGTTCTGGCCCAGAAGAATGTGTTAGAGATGGGTTGTTAGAGCTACAAAATAGAAGAGAGGCTTGTGAATGTCTCTCCTGTGAAGTGTGACCACGTGTAGTTTTATTACATTATTGTGTTCTGGAACTAAAAGGAGGAGCATAGCTTGAGAGAGGCTTCCTTTGCACTATTATGACTGACTCAGGATAGGACAGGCTTCAGAAGGGCTGTTGTCAGAGGGTTGCTACGAGTCACAGGAGATCTGGTGACACATAACAATAACAAAGTCAATAAATATAAGATCAATGAAGGTTCCTTTCTCACCTAATGGTCATGACTAAGCTATCTCTTAATGTTACAACCAGGAAGAGATAACGTTTTGCTCAGTAAACCAAGGCAGTGAGTGGTCAAAGATGCTTATTTGAATGTGCTGAGTGTGAGATACACCAACTAGAGAGATACAAGTGATATCTAGCAAATGTAAACAAATGTATAAGCACTTGGCTACTCTTTAGGTATTTTTGCAAACTCCAGCAATCTTAATACTTATATAAACACAGAATTCTTAATAAGTTATTAACAGATTTCAAAAGAGAACACGTGTTACAATGGTAGAAACACTCAGTTACAAACCCAAAGATAAATGGCCTGGACCCAGCCGCAACTCTGCAGGAGAAAAGGCCTGGTGACCTGCTCCCAGAAGGATTGCACCCAGGAAGTCCGTGAGACAGTTCCACCAGCCCTGCAGAGTCAATATCAACATAACCAGACACAACAATGAAAGGAGATTTCCATTAGGCTCTTAATGTCAAACCATGTGATTGATATTTTTAAAAAATATCATTGAAAAAAACTAATTTTTAAAGAAATAAAAGCAAAAAAGAGTTCTTTTCGGCTAAACCTTAAATAATTCCAATGATCTACTTAGCACACTGGCCTCAAGAAGCGGGTGTCTTCTCAGTCATCCCTCGAAACATTGTCTCTCCCAGAGAGGGAGCATAGGTTTCTACTCTGATAAGCTCCCATTTGGTCTCTTTAGTTTCATGGCCCTGTTTCATTTTCTACCACTTCATGGAAGAGTTGATGCTTCTGGGAAAGGGTTGTAGGTGACACACTTGACACTGTCTCATTTCTGGACATGCTAAGATGGGGCAATACTGACTAAGAGTGCCCTGTGGAGACTAAGACCAGTGGTGACACCCAGAGCTTCTAGGCGAGTCTAGGGGCCATAGTGACAGAATGTGAAGTGAGCCCAAAGAATGTAGGGCTAAGAGTGACAAGCGACTTCCAGAGGGTCCAAGGTCAAAAGTGGCTAAGAAGTCCCCAGGAAGCCTAGGACCAAGACGGCGGACCATGGCCCGGTGACAGCAATAGTCACTAATTCCTATTAGTGACTGGCTTTCCCACCACACAGGGAGGGTCTAATGCCAATAGTGGCTGCCCACTGCTGGAGTGTGTGTACAGACAAAGGTGATGGCAATGGCAAGCTAGCTTCGTAATCGACTGTAGCCATCGATCACAGCAAACACGAGATCTGTAGGTCTCAATGAGCTCTTCTGACGGGGACTTTGACAATATGAGGAAGGATGAGAAGCTCAGGAAAGAAGTCATGTATGAGTTCTAAAAGAATTAGGCAGCCATTCTCTAGTCAGCAAATGCTCTAACCTCTTCCTCCCTTCCTCCTTTGCTGCTTTCTTGCTTTCCGACGCCCTCCTTCCTGAGTACACGCTGAGGGGACCACGATCCTTCATCAGGATGCAGTCACAGGTTTTGACATTTGTCAAAATGCAAATCTTTGAAAATGAAACTGACTTTCTGGAACTGTGATTAAGACTGTTTTTTCTTTTCTTAGTTATGAGAATACAATTCTATGTTGTTCTTGCTTACCACGGAGGTAATTCTGACTCATGGCAAACCCATGTGGGTGTAGTAGAGCTATTCCACAGTTTTAAAAAGGTCACCTTTAGAAATCAGATGGCCAGGCTCAATTTCTGAGGTGAGTTAGAGTGGTTTAAACTACCACTCAGTAGTTAATCATTTGTGCCTTTTAACAACAACTAAATACGTAAAAACAATACATTTATCTGGGAGCACATGCCACATTTTCTCTCTCTTCCACTCTCCCCTCCCCTCCCCTCCTCCCCCCTCTTCATTC